ACCTAGGTGGTTCTAGGTGTCACCTAGTTGTTCCGAGATGCCATGTGTCATGATGTTAGTGGAGGGCCAAATCTGCCCTCATCAATTGCCCCCCACTACCGAGCTGAGATCAGCTCAGCAAAAGGAGTAGATTTGTGCTTCGTCATTGGTCCTATGGCCTGTTACCAACATATTTTGAGGTTGGCTTAGGGGTCCTTGATGCTAAAAGCGATTTAGCTTCCCCTTGCAATATGTGTGTCGATGTTGGAATTTAAATAGCGGGTCGGTGTCACGCCTGCACTGTGTCAGTCCTCTAAGGTATTGGTCATCTACTCCTACGATAAGCCACAAGGAGCTCAACCAGCGGGTAGACCTGTTCATGGGCCGGGCTTTGACTATTTATTAACAGAAAAATGTTAGGCCCGAGCCCGGCCCGACCGACGGGCCTACAACTTGGGCCCGAGCCCGGCCCGACCAACGGGCCTACAACTTGGGCCCGAGCTCGGCCCTGATAAAAGCCCAAAGCTCGACCTAATAAAAGAATTTCAAAATTTTCCCTATTCAAATAGACATTATCTATTTTAATTCAGATGTTTTTTCCCCTATTTAAATGAACAATGGGCCTACAAGTGAATCAACAACCTTCTCAAATCAAAAAATTTATTCAAATGGACATCACATAGGGTTTTTACTTAGGTTTAACTATAGATCGGGTCGGGCCAGGCTTTTTGGCTCGAGGTTAAGCCCACGGGCCAAAAAACCTGTTCATGCCCGTCCGGGGGCCGGGCTGGCCCGTTGGGCCACCTAGCCCATGAACAGGTCTACCAGCGGGGACAGCCTTACTAACTGCAGGTTGCCAGCTCGCATGGGAACCTTGAAAGGCTCAACCCACAAGAGTGATTACAGTCCATTGGCCGCTGACTCCGCGGGAGCCACAGAGGGCTCGACCTGTAAGGGGACCTCGCGAAAAGGGCTGACAAAGCTCGTCTGGGCTGATTACGTGTGTCGCCAGGTCGGTGGAAGCAGGTTGCCAGTTCGGAGGCAGGTCTCTAGGTCGCCACGTCGTCAGAATTTTGACAATCTAGTTTTGCTCTCAGCACCTCAGCCTATAGACACCTCGTCACCTTGGCAGGACTAACCTGTGAGGTTGGCTCTACAACCTGTTGGCCATCAACTCCCACGTAAAGCATGGAGGGCTCGATCTGCGGTGCGACCTCACAGTTTATTGGCTATCAACTTCCACATGAACCATGGAGGGCTCAACCTGTGGGGTGGCCTCACATTATATTGGTCGTCAACTCTCGCAGAGAGCATGAAGAGCTCGACATATGGGGGTGGCCTCATAGTTAGGGAGATTCTGTCAGGGCAAGACTGCGAGAACTCGTCTTGGCTAATCATTTTGCTTTTGCCCCCCCTAGGGGGTTCTTTCGATCAAGCGCTGTTGTTGTTGTTTGAAGATGTTATTACTCGAGGGTCAGAGAATCGGTAAGAAAATAGCCTTTTGTAACGTTTTTCACAGACGACGCCAATTGATGGTGCGCATTTTGGCAGCTCCCCGGCTGGCAGGTGACTCGGATGCTTGGCTGAATAATTCCTACCTGGAATGTGGCTTGGATGCCTAGCTAAATGGTTCCTACCTGGAATGTGGCTTGGACGCCTAGCTGAATGGTGATGAGCTGGAGAGGTGGCTTTGATGCCTAGCTAAATGGTGACGAGCTGGAGAGGTGGCTCTGATGCCTAACTGAATGGCTCTGATGCGACCTGCAAGGAAACAATGTCAGAGTGCTCGGGTTGCTTTACTCGGGGTGGGCACTCCAATGCTTAAGTTAGCGAATAAGAGATTTTAAGATAGCCAAATGTGAGAGAGCTGGAGAGCTGTGAGAACTAAATTGCCCATCTCCCCCCTAGAGTTGGAGGTGAGGCCTTTATATAAGCATTGTTTGGCGTGAGCATCACGCAACATGTCCGGGATCTCCGGGAGGACGTGCCTAACTGCTCTGAAGTCCTTGGAGGTAGTCAAGGCCAATCTTTGTGCCTTACTCGGTTTCTCTCAAAACATTCGGTGTGGGAGCTGACTTCCGAGAGACTCAGGAGTGATGGGATGCATGTAGAAATCGACGGTGAGCACGTCTCGTAGGTCGCCACATGGACCTCAATTAGGTCGGCAAGCCCTCGAGGGAGGTCGCTCCCCATGTCGAGGTTGCTTTAGCTGATACTGACGAGGTACCATAGGTCAGCCCTAGACAAGGTGTTGCTAGCCGCCCTGAGTCGTGGACGAGGTCGCTAGCTAGGTTTCTACTAGGTTGGGGGTGGAGGCAGGTCGCCAGGTCGGCGCTAGAGGCAGGTCGCCAAGTCGGCGGTGGAGGCAGGTCGCCAGGTCGGCGATAGTGCTAGGTCGCCAGCTGGGACTCCATCGTTTTGGCTAAGGCAAGTTGTCGCTTAGGTGGTTCTGGGTGTCATCCAGTTGTTCCGAGATGCCATGTGTCATGATGTTAGTGGAGGGCCAAATCTGCCCTCATCAAGTGTTATTACCAAAAGTTAATAAATACGATTAGTAAATTACCAACAATTAAATATTCTTATTAGTATGGTTAGTAAATTACCAAAATTAATAAATATTGTTATTAATTAACTCATCACGACTTTTTAAAGTAATATGGGTAAACAGTTAGGTTCATATTAATTAACAACATTTTATAGAAATTGAAAACTCTTTAACTAATTTCTACAAAATTGAGAATTATATTTAAGAATTATCAAAAAGTATAAAATTTTAGTTATTGCTATTATTGTAGATAATAACTGAATGTAGGTAGGGGAATAAAATATTACAACATTGGAAAATGAAATTACTAATTAATTTATATCGGAAAGTAAAAGATAAAATTAATATAATTTTGTTAGTAAACTATCTAATAAAAATAAGTATTTAATAACAATTAAAAATAAATTTCAATAAAACTTCATAATTACACAAATGTAGTAAAATTTTCAAAAATTTCCATAAAATTCATTTTTGTAAAATAATATTTTAGAAATTAAAATATATAAAATTTTTGAAAGTTTATTTATAATGTATTAAATAATTATTGAAATTTGTTGGAATATTTTAGAAATTTTAGGAAAAGCTATTACATTTGATAGATTTTGGAAAACTATTGAAAGTTTATGTAATTTTCATTGTAAATAATGGAAAACTATTAAATATAAAAGAGTATGGGAAAGGGAAAACTGTAATTTGAACCAATAATTACACAAAATATTAAGATAAAGTAGTATAATATTGGAAAAAGGAAATTATTGATTAGTTTATATTAGAAAGTATAAAATAAATAAGTGTGTAATTAAATCATTTAAAAATAAAATAAATTATTTAATAACAATTTAGAAACAAATTTGAATAATTTTTCAAAATTACACAACGTAATAAATTTTCCACAATTTTCATAAAATTACATTTTTTAAAAATAAAGGCATTTTAGTGCACTTTTAGAATTTTACCATGTGGCAATGTTGGGTTGATGGGGGAGTGGGTGTCTTGCCTTGAACCTGCCCAACATAAGGCACGGGGGCGGGGAAATTTGAGGAGTCCCCATCCTTGACGAGGAGTGTGTGCCTTGCCTTGAACTCTCTCGACATTGAGGATGCGATGGGGAAATTCGAGGATTTCCCATCTCCGTTCCCCTAACGGAAAGTGGGTGCCTTGCCCTGAACTCGCCTCACACTAGGGATGGGGTAGAGTGTCTTGACTATAGGGCGGGGATAGGGATGGGGTGCCTTGTCCCGAACCCGCCTTGTTGACTTTCCTATATAATTGCTAATTATTAGTGAAATTAATAAAAACGTTAGCTTTTATAATTATTTTTATTTATTTAAGGTCAATCAAAATTTCATTTAAAAATAATGAAAATAATAATAGTTATTAAAATTACTACAAATGATTAATAAAATTAAACTTATTAAAAATATTTATTCATATTAAATTAACAATAATTATTTTATGTAAATCAACATTAAATAAAAATAGAATTATTAAAATTTTAAATATTAACAATAACATTAAATACTTTTAATTAATTCACAACAAATTTCGATTATTAATTTATCAATTAATAGTAACTAAAACTATTTAACCTTTCAAAATTTTCCGTACATCTCACCGGTTTCCGCTAATATCACAATACAATTTTAATACTTAAAACCTGGAATGCATATGAGGGCCTGAAACTGGAATTACGATGCATACAATTAGCTCCGGTCGAGATCGAGAGAGAGAGGAGTGAGAAACTGATTCGATTCGAGAGCGCAGCTGCGCAGGTCGAGAGAGGAGTGAGAAACTGAGATTCGAACTAGGAGTACCGAGGGAAGCTACACAGCCTACACTCACTTTTGGGGTGAAATGGGAGCTAACGGGACGAATTCCGTCGTATTAGCACCGCATGAGGCTGAGGCACTTGCGTGTGAGAAGACACGCGGCGTCTTTTAATAGCGTGGGACGTTTTTGAGGCGCAAGTTTACGAGGGCAGATTCGAACTCTTACCAACATCCCAAGGGTCAAGGGATGATTTCCTCCTGACAATGGAAACAAAGGCCACGTCATTGAGTTAACACCCCAATGAAACACAGACACGTCATTAATGGAAATTAAAAGGTAATTCAGATGATGTCTGAAGTGAATTTATTTCCACCGCTGTCCTGTTCATTTTTTCATTTACTCCATCGCAACTCGGAAAGGATGCGTGTGTTCTCATCACTCAACTAATCACAAGCAGCCAATTCAACATTCTTGTTGGGTTTGCAGTTTGCACAGAGATCACACCAGCGCCCCACAACGACCTACAGCACATCCTAACCGTATATTGGAAACAGGTTCCGATGACAGTACGGGAGATGTTCCCAGTACGCGGTTGGAATGTGCCGCTGATGTGAAGAGCACATGAAAGACAAAGTCCACGTAGATAGAACTGTGTAAAAGACATGGATCCCACCACCATCAGCACATTCGAATAAGCAAGAAACTTCACAGCCAAGCTTTTGTAGTTCCTAGCTTCTCTCTTTGCCGTGTCTACTATAAAATTCTCCGTTTTGAGATTTGCAAATGCATAGAGTGATACAGATATCATTGTCACTCCCCATCCCCATTCATGATTCATGGCAGATCCCAACTATTTTAAATGGATTCCGACCCAACTCCCGCCTGGTTTTCGATTCCATTTCCATCCCACCGAAGAACAGCTCTTATGCTACTATCTCAATAACAAGAACAACCAGGACATCGACAACTACCGTAACCTCTCTGTTCCCTGTACTTCCATCACCGATGTTTCGCTCTTGGGCTTCAGTGTGATTCAAGAGATTGATTTGTATAAGTACGACCCTTATGATCTCCCGGGGATTGCGTGTTTTCCTTTCGGCATCCGTGGATGTAAGAAGCATTGGTATTGTTTTACGGAGAAGGCGATCAGTGAGCGTGCGAAGAGGAAAACTAGAAGTGGGTTCTGGAAGAGAAGGGGACAGGCCCGGGATATTGTGGGTGGAAAAGATGGGGTTTTGTTGGGGAGGAGGAGGGCTTTTGTGTTTTACAGAGGGAATTCGCCTCGTGCAACGAAGACTGATTGGATCATGTATGAGTATACCCCCGTTGATCGACTAAAGGTAAATAAACTGGGCTCTGGGAATTTCGTTTTCTCCCTATTTCTTTTATTTTCTTCCGGTGGAATTGTTTGATTGTGCTTTTTAGGAAAAATGTTCTTCTCCTACTGTTATTTTAATAAGTATGCCATATCTGTATATTTGGTCACCCTTATCCTCGTTGAACCGTCAGTCTTCCACCATTCTAAAATCCCCCTCCCTCCAAATCATGGAGCAATTTAGCAGGTTAATTAAGCAGCTAAAAGTTTCTTTCTTGTTCTTTCACTGCTGTTAAAAATAGCGAGTTGTGAACTATTTTCTTGATTGTAGCGTTAACTATTTTCTTGTGAAGTACATGCAAAACATTATGCATGGTTTGCACTTGGGGGTTTCATAAATACCTGTTTAATCTCATATTAACCACCAACAAGTTAGAAGAGCACATTTTGTTGCTTCTTAGGAGTAAATATGAGATTAGAAACATGAACAAAGAATCACATGAAAAGCTCCAACTAATTATTGATCAAAAAGGAAAGAAAATGGAACTAATTAGTGATTCCTCATCCATTGTGCCATCTAGAGGCATTTGTACTTCAACCAACGTTCTAGCTTGAAAAGTTTAAGACCTTAATGCTAATTGTTTCAATCATTTGGAATTGGGGACTGAAGAGTTTTTATACATTTCTTCTTGGTGGAAGAGTAATGGTAGCAAAATAATATAGTAAGGTGAAGCATTTAACAGAGTGATGCAGAACAATCTGGAATTGGAATTAACCTGTAAAGGAAGTAGATAGTGAAAAAAAAGTACATAGTGAAAATCGTAGAGAAAGGCAGTTTAAGTTAGGTTTGTCACCATTCGAGAGGACTATGAAAAAGTGTAGATCAGGAAGATGCAAAGAGTCCTAAACTGCCACACTGGGAATGTTAAATACAATATGTTGTCTGGATTTTCTTATGAGGCTTGGGGCAAAGCTGCTGAATAAATCCGGAAATATCATATGCTCAATTGAGTTGGAAAAGTTTGTGGATCTGAAGGGTATTCAATTCAATCCAACCCAACCACCCCCATAACAAAATATCCTTTCCCCTACTTTTGCTCATAAGGTTGCCTGCAAGAGCATTGGCTGATTTTGGGATCTATTTGAGTTAGCTGTTGCAACTAGATGCTAAGGATCTAGCCTCTCTCATATGGTTCTAATTTCTGAAGAGGCCAAGGATCTACCTTAGCAAATCTTCTAGTGTACTACATGTCAATGTTTAGGATGCCACAAGGGATAGTGAGGAAAATTGAAAAAATCATGAGTGATTTTCTTTGGGAGCCAGGGGAAAAAAAGAAGGATCATTTGGTTAGATGGGAAAAAGGTGATGAAATTGAAGGTGGAAGGGGGTTAGGAAATTGGTAAGGTTAGGCTGAAGAACCAGACTCTGCTTTGCAAATGGCTTTGGAGGTTTCCAAATGAAAATGAGAAATTATGGCACAAAGTTGTTGCAAGCATTCATGGCATGTCGAGAAACGGATGGGGTGCTGGATGTCTTCGTAGGGCTACCTTGGCTGCTCCCTGGAAGGCCATCCATGATGTTCTCCCTACCTTCCTAAATCATATCAGGTACGACTTGTCTTCTAGTAGTAAAATCATATTTTGGGAAGATGTGTGGATTGGGGATACTCCTCTGGGTGAGAAATTTGCTTCTCTTTGTGATTTGTCCAGGTTCAAGTAGTGTTTTAAAAGTGCAAGGCGCAAAAAAGGCGTAGGGGTCAATTTGCGCTTGAGGCGCAAGGCGAGGTGCGCGCCTTTTTTGAAGCAAGGCGCAAAAATACAAAAAAAAAATTCAAAAATAAAAAGAAGTCAGAAAATTCAAAAAAAGAGAAGCCAAAAAATTCAAAAAAAAATATTAAACATAATATTACTAAAAATATAAAGTTAAATTTTAAAATAATGCTTTAAAAAACCTATTATCTAAAATTAAAATTCATAAACATAAGATGTAAAGCATATTCAAATGAGAATTTAAAAATAAAATCAAACATATAAAACATTTTCAAGCATATAAAAGCTCTAATCTCTTTTTTCACTCAATTGCAGTACTTCACATAGCTATGCAATGTAAAACATATTACATTCCTGATTCTACGAGCCGCCTTTGTGCCACGCCCCTCGAGGCAAGCCCAAACAAGTCCACATTAGGTCTTAAATTCTTAATTTTCACACAAAAAAATAATGATTTTATAGTTTTAATTGCTTTTTAATAATACATTTTATTAGGATGAATGAATGAACAACATTGGGGGTTCATTCATTCATCCTAATAAAATGTATTATTAAAAAGCAATTAAAACTATAAAATCATTATTTTTTGTGTGAAAATTAAGAATTTAAGACCTAACGTGGATTTGTTTGGGCTTGCCTCGAGGGGTGTGGCATGGGGGTCCGGGGGTGGAGCCCCTGGCCCAGCTGTTATGTTCAAAAAAAGCAAAAAAGCGCCAAATTTTCAAAAGGCGCATGCTTGGGCTGAGGCACAAGGCACATCAGGCGCACCAGGTGTGTTCCTTCTGAAAGGGCAGGGCTGCACCTAGGACCTAGGCGAGGCGCATACCCTTAAATGTGCCTAGGCGTGCCTTTTAAATCACTGGGTTCAAGGGTATACCTATTTCAGATTTCCTAAGTCAACCATCTCACCTTCCAGGGTTGAATTGGAACTTTTGCTTTAACAAGAACCTTAGAGAGTCTGAACTTCTTGTTGTGTCCAAGCTGTTAGGATTGCTGAATGCAGTTTTCTTGGGAGAAGGTGGGTCAGATTTGGGGTCCTAATTCTGACGAGTTGTTTTCTTGTAAATCCCTTCTACAATCGTTGGTTGCCACTCCCTCTTCTCATCTTTTCCCAGTCAAAGAAATTTGGTGCCTTCCTACTCCCTCTAAAATCAATGTTTTTTGTTAGGAAGTATTTCATGGTTGTATTAATACCTTTGATGTACTTCAAAGGAAAAGACCAAATTGGTGCTTGTCCCCCAACTGGTGTGTCCTGTGTAAGTTGAGTGGTGAGACTACTTTCCACCTTCTAATACCTTGCCCTTTTGTCAGTTTTATTTGGAATTGGTTTACTTCCCTTTTTGGGTGTAGGTGGTCTTCTCCTGACAGGTTGGAAGGTTTATTCAGCCCTAATGGTATTAGTGGCATGAAAAGGAGGGGTAGGATTCTATGGAAGTGTACTAGAGCAGCACTACTTTGGATTGTTTGGGAGGAAAGAAATGCAAGAATATTTGGAGGAAAAGAAAAATGTAAGGAAGCATTAGTTGAAACAATAACATTGAGGGTGGCACATTGGGTAAAAAGATTGAAGTTGTTTTCAGCTTTTAAGGTTGAAGACTTTTTTAGGGTTTGGGGACTTATTGCTGTCTCCTCATCTACGAGACAACAGTTTTTTGAGGCATTGGTCTCCTCCAACACATGGTTGGAAGAAGCTGGACTTTGATGGGAGTTGTGTGGGTAATCCAGGCCCTTCAGGCATTGGAGGGGGCCATTAGAGATGAAAATGGAAACATTATTGCTCTGTACTCAGGTCCTGTGGAGTAGGGTGATGTGGCAAGGGCAGAGTTTCTAGCTACAGCATATGGGGTTGAGAAGGCTAAAGAGTTGGTTATTAATAGACTGATCATCGAGGGAGACTCAAAAACTATGATAAAATGGTTGTAGAAAGGGGAAGGGGTGACATGGCAGTTGAAGAATGAATTCCGAAGACTTAAATGGATGTCAAGGAACATGCCAATCCAGGTGGGATAGGTTAGGAGATCTGCCAACAGTTTGGCAGATAGCTTAGCAAAGCAAGGGGTTCAATGAACACATATGTTTTGGGCACATTTGTAATTTTGTTCCGGGTCAGCTTACTAAAGCTAGCTTCTTTCACAACTTGTTGTTGTATCCTAAAGTTTTCTAACTAATGAAATCTTTTTAGAGTTATTGATAAAAAAAAAAAAAAAAAAACTTCTTCAGGAGAAAGCAATCTTGGTCAACTTATGCAAGTGACTTCTTACTGGAGCCATTAGTTGTGTTGTGTTGAGAAGCTAACAAACCAAGATCAAGAAAACGATTGCAAGTAGAGGAAAAACAAGAAGAAACACAAAACAGAGTAGCACAGAGCACACACAGAGATTTACGTGGTTTAGCTTATAGCCTACGTCTACGGGCATCAGAGGAGAAGAAATCCACTATCAGACAGAGGTTGCAGTTACAGTTTTCATAGCCTTCTCACCAAAAACCTACCTCCCGAGTCCCAATACACTTGAAGTTCCCTCTCTTTGTATCTCACACATCTAGGTTTCCAAGATACAAGATAAAATTTGTGTAAGATAAAAGGCTATTTATATGTAAAACCCCAAAACTAGGTCGGCCCTACAAAACTGGTAAGTAATGGATTTGCTAGTCCGGCCTGTGAGTTCAGTGTCCTGTGAACCTGGGACCTGTGAGTCCAGCTTGCGATTCCAGGATATAGCAAGTCCAGATGAATTGTGAGTTCCACATCTTTGTGATTCTGGATTTTGTGCGAGTCTCAAATGCAATTGCCTCGATTGTGGTTCCCCTATCACTACGAGTCCATACCTTGGGGGCTCTCTGCTTCCACCACAAACTACTATGAAATTTTGCCTTCGAGGTTTTCTCAACTTTGTCGGGTTGGGTCATGGAGCAGATTCACAACCTGGAATTCAAGGCACCACAACAAGTTGTCTTCAATTAACAAGACTAAACAATCTTCCTCCTCCTGTCACTTGTTGTGACTAACCACAGGTTCGAAAGTGCATTCATTTTTAAATCTGTCCATAATTCACATATATGTCAATTTTCCATCTCAGCATCCTCATCTCCTTGCGGTGTTTCTTGATTGCCAACATATCCCATAAAGCATGGCAGGCCTTTTTGAGAACTTAAATATTTCCCCTTCATTTCAATTGTTATTGCTGACTACTTCCAAAGGGTGCTAATTCAGTAATAATTAATACACACATTAAACTTGCCACATGTTCCATGTTTCAATGATCACGATCCAGCATTGAATTTGTTGTAGCTAAACAATATCCAAAGAAAAAAATCACAAGCAAGGACACACTTTTAACTATCTGTTTTGAGACTTCAAAAGAAACATCTTTCCACCATCCACTTGAATGCGGTAAAATCAAATGGTTGTACTTTTCTTCACATGCTTGTTTTTATATTTGTGTTAGCCCTTATCATAGGTGCTAAGCATGACCCATGATCCAGTGGTTGGCTATTGTCTATCGCAACTTATCTACCAATGGGCCTGATCCAGTGGTTGTTTTTTTTTCACAATTTTTATTTGAATGAGTTGAACGGTTGAGCTGCTTGACCTGCACCCAACTCCAAAATGCTTCTTCAGAAGAACACCAAAATGGTTATCGTCTGGTGTGAGCCTGACAACATTGGGAGATAATAAATGGAAAGCTATGTAAGTTTCTTTTTCCAACTTTTTAGAGAGGGTAGTTTTGAAAAAAAAAAAAAAAACTTACATTGTTCGGAAGTGGAAGAAAAGCAGTTTTATTGGTATTCTAGTAGCTCCTTATTGAGCACCCTTTGGTCCTCAATAATATGGCCTAACTTTCTTTGTCAAGAATATTTAGTTATGTTATATCTCTTTCTGATATCTGATGTGAAACATTTTTTCTTGTTTTGAACTATGCTGGTGTAATATTTGGGAGGATTACGAAAATGAATTTTCTTTATGTTTGGATGGTTACATATATGGCCTAACTTTCTTTGTCAAGAATATTTAATTATGTTATATCTCTTTCTGATATCTGATGTGAAACATTTTTTCTTGTTTTGAACTATGCTGGTGTAATATTTGGGAGGATTACGAAAATTAATTTTCTTTATGTTTGGATGGTTACATCTTATATCTTTTTGATAGATAACTGGAAAAGATTTCATTTGATAAAAAGAGAGAAGAACATACTGTGACAAAATGACAGCATGGACAATAAAATAAAAAAGAAAAAAACAGCATTAAGCTGACCCACAATACAACTAAGAGTAGGGATACAATTTACATATCAATCCCTGGCCCTGGAGAACCCCATACAAGATATTGCCTCAAAGCACCTGCTTTTGTTAAGGAATCAGCCAAGTTATTTTCACTCCTAGGAATCTTGTTTTACTCTAACGTAAATATAGAAAACGAATGTGGCATTAATATCAAGGTAGAATCTAACCATTGTAAGGTGTCAAATGTTTCCTCCTATTCCATTTCATTTTTTTCCCAATAGTATAATGCTAATTGTTCATTTTCCCAATTAGTAAACTCTGTAATTTTCATTTCATAGCAGTAAATAGCTTAAGTGTGTGTTTATATTTGTCCGTCAACATCCTTATAATTGTTCCACAGTGTTGCTCCCAAGCAAAACTGAAGGAAATGATCGGGTGTGGGAAGTTTTTTTGTTTTTCTTTTCCAGACAAGCTCCAAATTTTTTTCTTTATAGTTCTCATTAAATCCATGCTTCTGTAATTTGCAGGATTCCTTCGTTCTGTGTAGAATATTTTTGAGATCCCATAGTGGAAATATAATATCTGAGCATATCCAAAGTTGTTATGCTGAAAAAAATGTTCCCCAAATGCATGATGCTGGCATAAGTGTTCCTTTTACACAAAATGATGCAGATTTAGTATCTGGCGTTTGTGAAGTACCATTGCATGAAGACAGACATATTGATATTCACAATGAGATCCAAGGGTCTCCAATGAATTTGATTAGCAAGCCAGATTGTCCGATTGTGGCCCAACAAGTTACTGATGGATATCAGTTCCCTGTGGTTGTTCCGCAACACAATGAGCATGAGTTGGTAAAACCTCTTAACAATTTCTGTATTCACTTGGAACGTAATTCCCATTTTCTCTCTCTGCTTGATAACATTATGATGACTTAATGTTTCCTCCCCCCAGACAACATTTTCTGTCATCTCATACATAAAGGTGCTGATCAATGAGTATCATTAATGTCTGACTTGTTCTATTGAGCATTTATGTGCCCAGTAAGATCCACCATGGCATGAAGCCCTGTGGGCTTTGATTTATAAATCGATGCATGCTCTGTTTGGTGTGGAATCCTTGGGGGGTTGGGTCAATTAAGAATATAATGATGCATGTGTATGTCGAGTCAAGGGAGATTTATAGAGCATCTGATTAGCAGTTGAGGTGAGCTATTGTCAGGGTAATGTGGGCATTTTTCAATTATCTAACTTAGGAAGCACAGAATATAGTCCTTTTATTTCTTGTTAAGTATGCATGTGCTCCTCACCATTAGCATCTTATATTTCAGATTTGGTAGGATAGCTCTGATCCTTTTAACCTTCTCATGATGGTTGATGTGCAGGTCAGATCCTCCAGCATGACCATTATTCCGAGTATTGGATTTGGTGGTGCTTTGGCAGATGAGTTAATCACCAGTTCCATGTTTCTAGATGGAGATTTCATAGAGTTAAATGATCTGATCTGCCCTCTTTCAGGCATTGATTTTTTGGAATAAAAATAAAAGAACTATTTCCCACGAGATAAATGGCGATTCAGTTGTGACAAATTAAATTATTGTTCACAATCCCTGTTTGAAGAAGGGAAGACAAGAAGCCAAAATCTTTTGAAAGAAAGGATAGGTAAAGAGTAAAGGAGAATATTGAATATGTTGTTGGTGTTTGCGGTGGAATGACTTATCTTATTAAGGTAGTAAAGTGTACCATTTTGCTGTTTTCTATGATTTTGAATCCACACTTAAATATGTATATATTTTGTTCTTATTTGTTTTTCATGTTACTGTTTGGGTCTGAATATGTGAATATATGATTGTGTGATTTCACAGGCATCGCTCTGATGTATAAGAGCAAGACCCACCAGCGGTTATGATGTGAATCGAATGCATTGATGCACCACTCCCAGCTTCAACTCTGCTGAAATTAATTTCAGTCATTTTCTTCTATGGTAGAGGTTGACATGGATACCTCTGGGGAAATTTGAAATTTCCTCTGAATTTTCTCTAGATGTTCATTTTCTCAAGGATGTGTGTGTAAGGGATTGTGAGGCAATACCTGTTCGTGAGGGCAATCCTGGATACCTTTGGCCTGCTATATTTCCATTTGTGAATATTGCTGTTTTGTAGTTTTCATGGATTGTGAGGCATGTCATGCTGATGGATAATGTTTATACGGAAAGCTAGACCTGACTTCCTGAACTCCGACTTTTCAGTGTTAATAAAAAGGTGAACTACAGACTATAGTGCTTTCATCTGCTTAAGTTGAGCCCAGTCCAAAAGAGGCCCTTAATGCTTTTGTTGGACAGCTATTTTTAATTACAGATGATGCCTGTAGCGCTATTTTGTTAACTGGGTACTTATGAGAGCTTCAGAGTCCAGAGTTAGAGTTGCACAAGTTTGACTGTTCTATGCAGTTGGCTGCTGCAGGGACTAGTGAAACAGAAAGCTAGCCCTGACTTCCTGAACCCCGACTTTTCAGTTTTCAGTGTTAAAGTGAACTACAAACTACACTACAGTGCTTTCACTCTTTGGTTAAGCCCTCCCAATGGGGCCCTTAATGCTTTTTTGTTGGACAACTACTTTAATTACAGATAGTACCTTTAGTGCTGTTTTGTTAACTGGGTACTTATGAGAGCTTCATAGTCCAGAGTTCCACAGCAGTCCGCTATTCTGCGTTTGAGTGTTTCCATTAAATATAGATTAGGGTTTAAGGTGGTGTCTCCTATGACCCATTGCTGAGTGCTGATGTACTTACGACTTGGTAAAGTCCCAGAACTATAGTGGCTTATAAAAGGACCAAGGAGACCATGGAAACTGCCACGTTAGTCATCGTGCATACCAACCCACAATTGCAATCTGCAAGTTTGCAGCTAATAAAATATGAATGGGCTTGCTTGGCCCAGACAGAAAGGGAAGGGTGTGATGAGCTTTTTTTCATTTTTCAGAAGTGGAAACGTGTAGAGGGCCCGATGTCAAAATTTTAGGAATCCGCCCTTATCATAGTTTTTATCCCATGGTTCGGTGTAAATCAGGCTGTGTTGGGCCAATATGGTAAGGCTTATGTGTGAGTCAAGCTGGGCCATGCTTCCCTTTCTTGGGATAGGCTGTGCCGTGGGTCTAGATTGTGTTAGGTTGCACTACGGGTTGGGCCTTTGGCTTGGGCTGAATGGGACCAAACTGTTTTTTTTTTTGACATTTTGATTTTTTTTTTTTTATATTTTGCTAAGTACACACTATGTGGGTGTTTGGCATTAATGCCGTTTTCCAAGAAAATGGTGCCATGTAGGCACCACATTAGAAAAAATAGTGCTTCAGAAAATGGCATCTTATTTGGTACCATTTTTTCGTAAAAAACATTGTTTCAGACCACACCTTGGAAATTGGGAAAGTGTGGTTTGAAGCAATGCCAAATTCAACGTTTTCTTAAAAAAACAGCTCGTTGCTGCTAGCAATGATGTGACATCATCTTGGATGTGGGATAATATGACCAATGCTGAAAACGGTTCCACAACACTAGTACCAAATAGAACCAGTGCTGTTTTCCCAGAAAACAGCCTACGTGGCAACACCGCTTCCAAACAAAAAATAAGAAAATGATGCTTATAACTCACACATGCCCTGCACCGATGTCAAATACCTACTAAAACTAAAATACTTCACTTTCCTTTGAGCTTTGGAAACAAAATGAAAAATGGACAATAAATTGGAAAAAATAGGAATTTTATTTCTTGAATTTGAACAATGCAATGATCAATGGATGAATAAAATATAAAAATATAATACAATTAAAAATTGAAAATAAAAAATTACATTGTTGAAAAAAAAAAGACTAATTTAAATAAAATTGAAAAAATACAATACTTTTAAAAATTAAAAAATTACAATAATTGAAATATTGAGTATACAAAAAAATAAAAAATATTGACTTCATCATTTTTCAAGTTCCACTTGCATCTTCATCTCCTTGATTTTCATCATCTTCTTCAGGTGAAACATCATGTGTAACATCATGCACTCCTTTGTCTCGTAATCTATCCCCAACATCCTACCAATCTTTAAGGCATATATGCACATCTGCAGACTTTCATCATTCATGCAACTTCTTTTGTCTTCTAGCACCATAATACCTACACTAAAACAAGACTTCAATGGAATTGTATATATCAAAGGGATTAGTAAATCACTTGCCATAGCGGCAATGAGGGGTATTTTGATCATTATAAAGTCATTTATCATTTTACCTAAATACTCCTAAATTAGTTGTTATATAGTTCTTGGGGGCATTATTATCATTTTATTTCCCCCAAAGGCAAAATACATAAATACCCCCTATATAGTTGTTGGGGGGTATTTCTGTACCCCCCCCCCCCAAAAAAAAAAATGAAACTAGCCATTGGGGGGTTCCAACAACTAGTTTTTTAGGCCCACGGGCCAGACCATTCTAGCCTGCAAGCCATGGGCAGCACGGCTCGCACTGTCGTGTTGTAACAGGCCAGTCTGCGGACATGAAACCCCAAACTTGACATGACCCATACAATCGTGCCATGCTCGGCATGGCCTGTGAACCATCATACCAAACTAGCTCAAAATTGTGTCGGACCATACCAAGCCATAGATGATGTGACCCAATTTACACCTCTAGTTATATCATACATACCGTTTTTTTTTTTTGGCTAATTAATAATGGGCTATCCTGACCTAGTTAAATGCCAACAAAAAAAACTAACCTTGTTAGGTTAGGTGGGTATAAATAGATGGACAATTGTGAGCATGAGATTGTTTGTCCCTTTACGTCCAATGTGGTAAGCATACAAAATTACAAATTGATTTTCTCGTGTGTCATTTCAAAGTGGGTCTTCCAATCACCACCATAAAAATATTCTATATGTGTGGTGTAAGATGGACATGTAAGATTACAAGAAGAACTAAGCGTTCTTCGTCTATTTTATATTATTGGAAATTCAATTGTTAGTTTTCTTTTTCTGACAAATAAAGAAGTGAGAAATGGAGTGCTTCTTTCTTGGTACCTTCTGTGCTAGTGGGGTTAGGGCGGTAACGTTTCTTGACTTTGGTATGTTGACTTTTCTACCTTAACCCACCATGGCCTAAAGTTTCTAACTCTTTTGTTCTGTGGTTGGGTGATCAGTAATGATGGGTATATTCTTTTTAATCAAACAATAGATTCCATTAAATCCACAAGTTGGACATGAGCGTATCCCCTTCAATTAATTGGGCAAATTTCTAAGTATACTTTATTGTTATTAACGTTAAATATTAGGGCAAGGGCTGATGTCCGTTTTGCCTTTAATTCAATTTACACGCGAGTAACACCATTGTCTTCGCCTTTTCTGGATGGTGGTGTGACGGTGAGAAGAAAAAGGCAGCAAAGGAGAAGAAGGACGAAAAGGCCTCTGTTATAGAGAAGAAGCTTTCCAAGATCGACGAAGAGAAGTTGGAGATCTTCAAGTAGTTCTTGAACTTTTGAATCTCTCAGGTCTGCAAGAAATCTACATATGAGATTTGAAAGATATTCAGATCTAAAGAGATACTCATAACTGGGCATTAGCATCGCAACACAGAATTGACATCTCATAGTTGATCCCCCTTGTCTTGGCATGCAACTCACGAATCTCACGTAAGTAGAGCCTTGCTGCTTGCTAGGAATGGCAATAGGGTGGGTTTGGGGCAGGGCACTCCCTCCTCGTTCCTGCCCCGAAGTTATGATACTTTATCCCGTATCCGGTGGCGGGGTGGGGTGGGGCATCCATTCCCCATTGGAGACGGGAAATCTCCGAATTTTTCCTGCTCTAAGGCAATTACTTAAAAAATATTTATTTTATGGACAATTTATACATAGGATATATAAATTTAGGGGTATTTTAGAATTGAATTATAATAATTTAGGGATAATTCAAAAATAAAATTATGGGATCCTATAATTTTAAAAATTTAGAGAAAACTTAGAAATATTTTATATTAAACCTAGATATATTTTACTAATTTACCTTCGGGTTCGGGAAATTATATACAAAACCCGCCCCCGCCCTGTACATGGTTTGGGGAAAAATGATTTTCCTTGTCCCCGCCCCATCCTTGTTTAGGGTCGGGGAAAATCTGCCCCTTTTTACTGGAGAATTGCCATCCCTACTACTTGGGCACCAAATGGATTGGCTTTCGGCTTTCCATTGTGCTCCTCAAAGGTAGCTCGGAGATGCCTGATGAGAGAATTGAGGCTTCCCCAAGCCTGACGAAGTGAGCATGGACACAGTGTAGGGGGATTTGGGTGGCTGAAAAAGGGGCACATTTGGGTGTGGACTTTGGTCTTTCCGAATTGGTCGAGATACCTTAGCCGTTGCACCTGGAAAGCGATAGTGGAGGCATGTGCTCTTGATGCTTCTGGCTCTCGTAGGGAATGCACAAGGAAGAGAGAACAAAGGGGAAGAAGGAGAGAGAGAGCGAGCGTGCTTTTTGATCCTAAAATACCCTTTTTCCACTGGGAATAGTGTTAGCCTGGCAAGTGTCTGGAACGATGACTAAGCTATGGTGGTTGTGTAGGTGTTTGGAAACTGAGTGGTTTTGCAGGTTTGTTGGATCTTAGGTGGGATCTAAGATCTGGTCCGTCGTTTGCTACTACAACCTTTGAGAGGGAGTTCGTGCTGAAGTAGGGAGTGAGAGGGGTCCGTTGCTGCAACGAGCGGTGGTGCTGAAACATGGGAGAGAGAATGAAGGGGAAGAAGGAGAGAGAGAGAGAGAAAGAGGCTGGAGGTGGAGGGGGTTATCGCCGTCGCTGGTTAAGGATTGAGCCAATTCTGTTTGCTACTGGTGAAAGGAAGAAGATGAAGAAGAAGGGAGAGGAAGAGGGATAAAGGGTAAAATTGGGTTTAAAAAATTTATATATTACGTGAATAGAATTAGTCAATTGTTAAAAAAAATATGGGTAGCGTTAGATAATAATCGAACAGTAGAGATATACTTAGTCAATTGACTAAATCATAAAGGTAATTTAAGAAATTTATCCTATTGACCTGGTTGCAGTTTAGAGTTGAGATAATTTCACGAGCGTGATGATGTTTGAACTTTGAAACGAGTCTGGCAACAACTGATTGCATAAGGAGACAAAGAGGACGGTTGTTGTTGGAACTGGACATGGACGTTGGTTTCTGAAAGCCCATTTTTCACCGAGAGGACCAGATGAGTTAAGAGTTAGATAGAGTACATTACAATTACATACAGTTGTATTCGTATTCGACCATTTTTCACTGGACATGAGCTTTGGTTTGTCTCTTTGCTTCTGGTTCTGGGTATATCAACCAACGCCTTGTATAAAGAGGCGTTGGTTGAACAAACTAGTGCTTCCTGGATTCTCTTTCTCTTTCTCTTTTGAAGGAAACCGTTTATATTATCAACCCTTTTGGATATAATTGGTTGCAGAAAAGAAAGAGAAAACCCATTAAAGAAGAGCAAACCATCTTTTCTAACCCTCCCAAATCCCAATTATAATGTTCCAGTTTTGTTCTGTGAAAGAGTGAAGAAAAACAGGAACTGTCCATACATGATACGTGCTTCCCTTAAAGGAAGAAAAAGGAGAAAAAAAGGGAGAAGAGCATGATTTGGGATTTTGGGGGTGGGATAATGGTTAATTGGATTGTCAAATGTCAGGTCTGAAGCAATCTTTAACCCACCCTGGATCATGGACCTGCTGGGCGCTTTTCATGTACTCATGTTGATTCAAAAGACACAAAGAATGACAGGGGAATCCCATTACAATTTATAACCCTGAGTCCCTGACTGACAACCATATATCAATACACGCAAAGGGGTTTCTAATTATTCCGTCACGATGCTTGTGTGCACACAATTAAAGTCAGTCTCTCCTCTCGACCTATTTACTCCCAAAATAAATTGCTTCAACCCCACCCCAAGCTCCTTGCATAATATTTGCGTAGAGTGGGTGTCATGTTTGTCAACCACTGAACCCCATCTGCCTATGCTTTCCATAGTGAGAGAGACATGTAGAATTATATAGAATGAAACAAGAGATAGAGATAGAGAGAGAGAGCACTGTTTCTGTCTGTGGGTTAAAATAAAATTCGAAATTAGAAAAATAAAAAGAAAAGCAGGCAAAGCTGGACTCCTTTCAAAAGCTGGTGGGCGATGGCCTGGGGAAAAAAACAATAACAAGGTCCACAAATGAGAAAAAAGGAAGAGGAAGGCAGAGAGGAATGAATAGAATGGGATCGATCAATATTCAATAGACCATGACTAGTTTAACTTTGTTGGGCTGATTCTTCATTAGTTTAATTATAGCTTAGTGGAAACTCAGAAGTTAGAAAGCGGAACCCTTATTTACTATTACAGTCTTGGGCATTGCCCAACAAATTTTATTTACTATTATATATGTATATAGAGAGAGAGAAAGAGAGATGAATAGGATAGATGTGAAGGCAAAGGGAGGGCAGCAGCTTCCAGCTTGGCGTGAGGGAGGTAAGAGAAAGAGAAGTGGTGACTACGGCGCGCATCGGGAGGCGGAGCGCTTTTACATTGTCGAGCGAGAAAGGAAAGGAAGAGCGACGAGGGGTCGGGGGGTCGGCCGGAGAGAGAGAGAGGGGTGCGTTGCGTAGTGACCCTGCCTAGTGCCTAGTGCCTAGTGCCTAGTGCCGAGTCCTCCCTTTGGTTCCTTTCTCTCTCTCTTTGTAATTTTTGTATACACGACCTAGATCCTAGAAAACAACTGTAAATCAATGTAACTCTCATTGGTCAGCGTCCCAACACGACAACTTAACCTTACTTTCTCACTTTCTCTTTCCTTGTTTGGAGATTAATTAATATTAAATATCATTTTTTATTTGTTAATTAATAAATATTAGGCAATTAGGAGGCATTGCCAATTTGCCATTGCTAATGCTACCTCATCACACCTCTCTCTCCCTCTCTGAACGTAATTTTACATTTATATTCTCCATTCTTTCTTTGTTTGGATTAACACTTGATTAATTATTTACTGTCCTTTCTCACCCTCCTCCCACCGTTCTCTCTCTCTCTTTCTTTCTATTTCTCTTTTCCTTCTCTCTTTTCTTCCTCTAATCTCTTTCTTCTTCCTCCTCCTCTTCCTCTATATCTGTTTCTTGCTGAGTTCCTTCCATTTGTCACTGGATTTTGGTGCGGTATTCTTCTTTTGCACAGAGGCTCTAGAAGAGAGAGGAGGGGGGAGGACGTTTCCTCATCTCTTTCGCGATTCTTTTTTATCTTTTTATTTTTAAATATAAAACTACGGACCGACCCACCGATTGACCGATCAAGTGATCGATCTTTTCTTTGGATCCTCCTTGGCTTCCGTTTCTCAGGTATTTTTTTTTTTTATCATTTATGGATTGTTAGTCGTTTTTTTTGTTAAATTTATGGAATATAATTCTGTGATTTTAGGAATTCTGAGGAAAGCTTTGGTTGTTTCTCTTTCTTCGTTAATTTATGTTTTTTCATTATTGGATTTGGGAGAGGAAAAACACGGTTAATATAGGTTCATCTAGGGTTTGCTCTGTGGTTTTTCTTATTCTCATCTTTATTTTTTTGTTTTTTTTTGAAATTTAATTTTGTTTGAGTTTTGATTTACTTTTTCTTTCTTTTCTTTGTTTGACGGGAATGTTTCTATTGTCTGCTTTTGATTGTTTTCGATGCTAGGTGATTCAGAATGAATGAAGATTTTTGGTTCCTTGTTGGCAGGGGGGGGTGGCTTTGGTGATTATAAAGATCACAATTTTTTTTTTCATTATTTTCTTCTTCAACAGTTGGTTTTATGGATGTAACAAGGTTTTCGTGTTTGTACTACTTTGTAAAGGCAAAGCTAATAGATATTACTCATGCATGCACGCATGGATGATTCCTTTGTCCACCGCTGCATGGTTATGATTCTATAGTATAGGGTTAAATACAAGACATGGATTTTGTGTGCGTGTTAGGAGTCGGACTTACATTCTTCCCCTTTAAAGGACTTGGGGATCTGATGGTGATGCATCGGTCTTCCTCCTCTTGGGTAGCACGGTCATTGCTAGAAAACATTTCTATTCGTCTATATTAGAATAGAAGCTGAGGTTTGCAAGGCTCTCAGACAATATTTGTTTGGTTTTTACCAACTTATAATCTTCGCCCCACTATGGCAGATTGAGACTGCGTTTAGGTCGATCATCGATTACGAAAGGAGAGCATGTTGGAAGTTGGAGTGAGGAAGGAAGAACTTTTTGATATAAAATTCATTTCATGGGATTGCTATGTTTCGGACTTGGTGCTTGTTTCTCAAGCCAGATTCTTCTTTTAACATTTTCTTTGGCATTATACCTCTAGAACCACCCAAAGTGAAACATTTTTAACCTAGTTTATTGTGTTGTGCTTCTTATCTTTTGGACTTCGACTGCTGTTTTTTTATGAGTTCTCTAAAGTTGTCAACTTGCTTTCCTTGCATGTCATTGTTGCCTTGTGTTGCTGTAGGATTCCCAATGCCAAGTTGCTGTTTAGCATGATCTTGGTTAAGGAGATGACTGTTGACGTTCTATTGAGGCTTTCCCTTTGGAATAGGACAACGATCAAGTCTCACTTATTAGCATTCACTTCAGTTGCTAGGGTCATCTGATGTGGTAAAGTTGTTGGTTTCTAGAATTTATTCATCTACTTTTTCTCTCTTTAGGTTTAGCAGTTGGTTAATAACTTGGTTTGCTGTGTTTATATAAATCCTCTTTGAATAAATGGATAGTTTTGAGGAGGCATACATGTGCAAAGAATTAATACATGTGTAATGAACCATATTAAGGGATATACTCAAGAAGCATACATGCGAAAAGAAACATGGCAATAAAAGATAGCAATACATGTGTAATGAACCATATTAAGGGATATGCCTCCCATATTCCTTTTTCTAGTTGACATTGCCCAATATTTATCTTGCAATATGAACATCTATTTCAGCATATTCATGAAGCAATGTTTCTCGGTATTTACCAAAAAAAAGAAACTGTGTTTCTTGGTGTAACAAACCACTTTTCATTCTGGTTTTGTTGGATGCATATTTTGCATTGGTTTTGCCTGAAGAAGCTTCTTGCGTGGAGGTTTATGTGAAAGTAGTAATTTATTTCTGTAAGTTTAGTTTTATGTGAAAATTGGATTATTGTTATTAGCTTCACTGATCACAACTCTAATAACATAAATCATTATTTTTTTTGGAGGCTGCCATGCAATAAAAGATAGTATCAGAAATGATCTTATTCTTAGGAGCCTAGGAGTAGCTCCAATTTGTGATAAAATAAATAAGGGAGGGCCGGAGGGGAGGTCGATTAAGATGGTTTAGTCATGTACAGAGAAGACCATGTATGGAACCCGTAAAAAAGAGTCAATCTATTACAAGATGACAGGTCTAGAAGAGTTAGGGCAGGCTGATAAAGGACATGGGTTGATGTAGTGGTAAATGATATGAGGGCCCATAATTTAACAATGGATATGGCACTGAACAGAGTGAAATGGTGGAACAGGATTCATGTAGCTGACCCAAATATATTGGGACATAGCTTAGTTGGGTTGAGTTGAGTTACCATGCGATAAAAGCCTATGACTTGAAGGGTAACCTTTCCATTTACTATTTTTCTAAGTGATATTCTGAGAATGTATGGTGTAAATTTTTAATTGAAAATTGTACAACTGAATTACTGAAGTTATTTCAACAGGAGAATGCCACTTTTCTTTCCTTATCTTTTATTTTCTTTTTTTTTTTCTATGTGTGTGTGCGGGGCATCGGTTGGAAAGTTCAAGTTACTCTTTATGGTAGAGAGATATTTAGATATGTTTATCATTTTTACTTCTTATCTGGGAGCTATAGGTTAAAGGAATGCTGCCAATATCCATGTTAAATATCTTAAAAACAAGAAGCTATGAGAATCAGCTGATTCAGCTCCAGATAATGGTCATCAGGACCTGAGGTAGTATTTTCCTAGTATACGGTGAATGCTTGTGATCTCTATATTTAGCACGAAAATCAGTTCTTTTGTATCACTCTTGAAAGTATGGTCAAACTAGTTTATTAGAACAAATCCCATTTATTGAAGGGTGAAGGGAACTCCATCCTTGAATATTTGAGTGCAGAAGAATTATTGTCATGACTTCTAGCTGATTAAAGCACAATATTTTGACTATCAAAGAAGGTACAATATTTTCATTGGTTTGAATTACTATACAATGCCTTTTGAGCTTTGCAGTATTTTTCGAATTGTTATATTGGTTTCTAATTCATAGACAAGGAGTGCATGCTGAATGAACATTCTTGTCATTTTCCCATTTTCTTCTTTGTGTTTCTCTATTTTATTAAGGTGGTATCATATCCTTCGCTGCACTTAAGCCTGTGATTTGTTGGACTAAAAAGCAGTGTATATTCTGTATTCAATGCAGCTTGCATGATTTTAGGATTGTGAAAGAAATTCTATACGTAATCCATTGCTAATTTGAAGCCTTATTTAAGAGAAAGAACAAATTGCCCCTAATGCAAGGGCAAAGGAGTACTGTGGATTCCTTACCCGAAGCTTTTGAGTTTGACCATGGATCTGGTTCAAGTAATACCAGTATGGATCAGCAGCATTTTTGGAACACTATGTTAAATCCAGTAGAAAACCGGTTGCCTGAATATATACTATCTCCCACTGAAACAAATACTACATATGGCAATTCTTCTAATGATGGTCGAAGTCTGAGTGGCTGGAGTTTGGGTGAATCTAGTTCAGGTGGTACTCAAAACCTTCGTGATGAAACTAAGATGGAAAATGGGTGGTCATTGTCTCCAAGTGCCCTTGCTGGAGGTGGGTCTACATTGGAAGAAAGGCGATATGAGACAACTGGTATTCTTTCTCTCGAAAGTGTTAATATAAGCCTGAACAATAGTCAGGATGCCGATGCACCTTTGCTTTTGCATAATTCCAGATCAGATGATATCCCTCAGAATATAAACTTAAATGCTGGATATGTAGGAAGCAGTCATATTGGTGGTCGAGTCATTGAAGGTGGCGGGTGTTCTCATATGTTTAAATCAGTTAGATTAGAAAACGAGCAAACTCCATCTTCTAGTGGTTCTACTGATCCCTTTGTAAGTGCTTCTGCAAGTTCTGGGTATTTGACAGAAGAGAATGATGGCAGACCAGGTTGTTCGTTAGACGGTCGACGTTTGTCCTGCAAAAGGAAGGCCCTTGAAAGTGCTTCTGGGCCATCTTTAAGTGGAAGTTCAAGTTGCTTCCAGCCAGCTGAAAATAGTGCATGGCATGCTGTTCCTACTCGTAATAATGCTACTACCAGCTTGACTATATCTACAGCTGGGGAGAATCCTTCTGGTGTTAATCATACAGAGCAATTGAACCCAAGAATTGGTATTGGTATGCGAATAGGATCTGACAACCATCCTGTTTTAAGTGCAGCTGGAAATGCAGAAAGTTCACAGAGAAGTTTCCGTATGAGAACCAATCCTGCACACCAACAAGATTCTGTACCATCTAATCGTTCATCTACAGGGAGTGCCATAAGACGCTCACATGCTTGGTCACCTCATCAATCATCTAGACATATTCCATTTAGTCCTTTGGAGTCAAGGCAAACAACATCAGCCAATGCAACTGGACAAGGCCAGTCTAATGTAATGCATATTCCTGGGTTGCCACGGAGTGTGCACCCCCTCCCTTGGAATGGGGGTTCCAATTCAAGGGGTGGAAGTTCATCAAATCCGGCCATTTCTGGGGATAGAAGTACTGTATTACGAGAAGAAGCAAATTCAAGAAGCATTCCAAGAAACATTTCAGAGCATCCTGTGTTTGTACCAGCAACTGAGATGAGAAACTTGGCTCAAGACCCAACAACCTGGAGTTTGGCCAATGGGAATATGAGCCTTCCTGGGACTGTTGCATCTTCTTCCCGAATTGGATCAAGTTCAAATTCCCATCCTTCACCTTCTCCTGCCTGGGTCCACCATCACAATCATCCCTTTCAATATCAACAAAGACTATCAGAACTTGTCCGACGGTCCTTGTTTGCTTCTGCTGGATCTGAGTCAGGGAGCCAGACTAATAACTTACCCCCATTGCGTTCAGGGCCTGGCTCTTCTTCACAAGAGGTAGTGCCTTCTTCTGGAGCTGCTCACCAGGGGAATCATCAGCCCCATCGAAGATCACCATTCTGGATGGATAGACAAGGTGATGGTGTTCTTGGCGTTCCCTTTTCATTGAGGAGTTTGACTGCTGCCAGTGAAGGGAGAAGCAGACTAGTATCTGAGGTTTGTTCTTTTACCAAGTTCATTTGGAGATTTCCTATTTCTGTGCATTTTCTGTGTTATTTTACCTGCTTATTCCTTTTTTTTTTTAATCTTGGAAAGAAAGTTTCATTATAAATACAATCTCCATTTTCAAATGCTAATAAGGTATGGTTTCAGGGGTGCATATTCTCTCTAGTTGAGTACCAGGACAGTAGTTTTATACTTCATAAGTATGTTATAACATGATTATGTGTATAAAAACATGATGCACTTATTGAAGAGAATGCAATTTATCCTTCCTGAAGTTAAGCCCTGTTGGTTACCTGATTATTATTGTTATTTTTGAAGTAACTGAAACATTTTATTAATGAAAATGAAAAGGAGGTAATTAGTACAGGCAATCCTTTGATAGGGTAGCAATTACTGACCTACCTCAACAGTGTTTGTTACAAGCAATTACATGCTAGCCCAGAACCTTTGGTTTCTATTAACCCCTTGCTTAGCTTAAACTTCAGCTGCAGATCTGTGCATCCATTATATCTTTGTAACCATGCTTCTTTTCAGCCATGCAATCTGCTTAAGTTCATTCCTATTGTCCCAAACTGCTTTCTGACTATTTTGTAACCATTCAGTGACAACTTTAGAAATAATAACAATCTGAAACTTGATAACCCATACAAGTAATATGGTTAATTTTCTCAGAGATTGTATCCATTTCTACATTTTAAACTCTAGCAGCGTAATATTTGTATTTCCTGTTTATCTGCCAAGAGGAATCTTGGTGAAACTTTGCATGTGTATGTCCGTACTTGCTTCTGCAATTATTTTAAGCCTTGGCCTCTAGATTCTCTCTCACCAGCATCTTGACATTAGAATATCAGGAGTCCAGGATTGGAGGTTGGATATTGTTTAGTATGTTACAAAGTTCTATGCACTATTGAGTTCATGACCTGCACTATTATATTCATGAACAAGACACTCTTTTGTCTCTTTCTTGGTTACCTATGTAGAAATGTAAAGCTTACTAGAAATTATTTGGAGGTGCCGAGTTTTGCATCAAATGGCCAAAACAGCTCGAACTCTTCACGTCAAAAACACCCAAATTATTTGGCAGATTCACTTTCATGTCGGAAGCTTATCATGATTCTTTTCTGAAATGTAACTACAATGCTATTGAGTTTATGGAAATGGTGATACATTTTTGACATGGGGAAGGGCAGACCTGTTGTTTATTGGCACCTTGTTCTAATAGGTAAATTTGGTCAATGTTTAAAATTCTCTAGATTATTTCATACTTAAAGGTATTTATTATTATATGTATCATTTTTATTTGGTCCACAGGGTCAGTAAAATGTCCATTATGGTATGGAAGATCTCCTAGGTTAGACCCATCTAATTGTGGGCTGAAATGCCCTTGAGCATGTCCAACATGCATTTACTTGTGATCCAGGAGAAATATTTTCAACTGCTGGGAAGGAATATTTAAGAAGTAACCTACCAACTGATGGTGGCTCAGTTGGTAAGTAACTGTTATGGGCCCGGGCATAGGATCCCGTCACGGGTCGGTCCACGGTGCGAATGCCCTGCCTTCCCTTGCGTGTAGACCCTATTGCGGGACTGAATGGATGATTTGTTCAAGAGACCACCCGAACTCTCTTCACTCTTTTCTTGACTGAAAAACTGGATGCCTTTATTTCAATTCGTAGCTCCTTAAATAGGAGATTACAGAAGGGAATTCCTAATTAAACTCAAACTCCTAATTACCTACTCCTAATGGTAATTCACTCTTACTTAAGATAAAGATAAAGATAAGATTAGATAAAGATAAGGGATAAGGGATAAGATAAGGATAAGGTAAGCTGGCGGCGAGTTGGCTTGATGTGTCCAGATAAGGATGGGCCCACCCCTATGAGCTGTCGTGTGGGCCCTGCTCTGCTGCTGCTGGGTGYGTGTGCGCGACTCATGGTGCCGCTGCTGCGCGGTGCGTGCTGCGCGCCATGGTGCCGCTGCTGCCTGGCGGTGCGTGTTGCGCGCTATCGGTGCCTGCTGCTGTGCGTGCTGCTGCCTATGACTGCTCCGCAGTGCGCTGCCGGATGGTGTGCCCATAACAGTAACTGGCTATTTGTAGCAGAGACCTGGGATGAAATCCCACTGCCACTAGGGTTGGGGGGTTACCCCCAGTTTGTATAGCCCCATGAAGTGAAATAATATATATAAGAAGTAATCTCAAGCACTCCACTTGGGTGTAAAACAAAATTAAGAAATAAAAAAACCTCAATTTTCAATATTCTTGTTACCATTTATCAAAAAATGGTAAAGAAAGAAAAAGCTTTTGGAAATAAGTTTTCTATAAAATCTTTACTTGATATATAGATTCCTGGTTGTTTGGTTGAAAACATAGAAAGTGATTGGGAAAACCATCTTTATTATTTGTGGTGACAGCCAGCAGAAAATGCTACTGAACATTGATGATCTTCACAGAAGTAGATGGGAAGAAGCCGAGGCCGGGAGACTTGAAATTGGGATTCGTGAGTTGGGAATTATATGAGCTTGTTCACTTTTTTCACTTTGGAAGCTCAACTTGGAAAATGATATTATGGCGTAAAAAAGGAAGCCGTGTCCCAAAAAGAGGGGCAAGTTAGGAAGTGGATTTCTCAGAGGAATTCTATTTCCTGCATGCTGAACTTGAAATTTCTATTTTTTTAAACCAATTTCTGAAACTTGGTTGTCTGCCCAGCCAAACAAAGTGAAGATGAACTAGGTAAACTCTACAAATAATACATGCACCGACATCACTGTTTTTGGTTAACAGTGCTTTTGTAGCTTCACAAATGATTGGACCAACTTTCAATCAGACTAGAGGAAGAAACTTATAGGGCTACTTTTTTATTTCCAAGTTCTTTCACTAGAAATGACCTATTCAGTATATCTATGTGGCATTCTTGTTTGATTTGATGATTGCATACACCATGGCTTAAAAAATAAAAATAAAAAGATTGCAACCACCATTTGAAAATGATTTCTGGCAAATAAATCCTTTAACTGTATAAAGCAATTATAGAACTTGCATTCCGTTGCAAAATTGGCTACCGATGAAAATGTAGAAACATTATGGATATCCTCAGAAACAAGTAAGCGTATTGTGTAATTTACATAGTTGAAATAACAAGGATGGGATGACAAGTGATACAGAGTAAAAAATGCACGACTTTAGGGTCTGAGAGTCAGAAATGCAATTGCTTATTAGTTATTACTTGTGGAAGGACGTTACTGAAGGAGATTGCTTGACTGTCATCCATACCACTACCACTGCCATAAGAGAGAAGAAAGCAGAAAAATAGAGAGAGGGACACTTAAAAGCAAGTGTCAACTCTGCTTTTGTTGAATTAGCAGCTGATTTTGTTCTGTAATCTGATGCTCTATCTGTTATTCAGTAGATTGGTAATCTTACATTCTACCAAATCATTAGTATGGGGGAAGCAGGAAGCTGTAGTTTCTCACAGAAGCGTTCTGTTGGGGCTAACATTTTCCATTGTATTTTCTCCAGCAATTACGCAGTGTCCTGGACCTTGTACGTAGGGGTGAAGGCTTAAGATTTGAGGTAAGATATAGTTTTGTTTTATCTTGTGTGTGGTTGTTAATTTTAATGCTTGGACCCTTATAATTACGGTATGGTTGGTATGACTTCCAATGCCCTGGTACTGGCTTGGGTTTGACGAAATTGCCCCTCCACAAACAAGTCTGGAAAAACTGGTCAGTTTTTTCATAAGACTTTGAACTTCTTCTTTTGGATAGATCTGTACAAACAAACCTTGTATGGGTTTCCCTACCTTTTCCTTAATGCTTTTGATTTCACTCAAATTTGAAATTTGGTTTGAACATGTGATGTTTCAGGATGTTGTGATACTAGACCAGTCGGTATTTTACGGGGTGGCCGACTTGCATGATAGGCACAGAGATATGCGGCTTGATGTTGATAACATGTCATATGAGGTTAGAATAATGTCGTAATAAAAATTAGCTATGATGTGTCATTTACCGATGGAAGATGGTTCCATTAATGCAACAAGTGGAATCTCAGGAATTATTGGCATTGGAAGAGCGCATAGGCAATGTGAGCACTGGATTGACTGAAGAAGCAATTTTGAAGTGTCTGAAGCAGCGAAAATATTTAGCCATTAATATAGGAGCTCCGTCGGAGGGCGAACCATGCTGTATCTGTCAGGTAAGAGTTAAAATTGGCCTGACATCAATAACTATTTAGCATTAGAAGTGTAGAGCTCGTCTGAAAATCAATTGTTGTTTTTCAGGAAGAATATGTTGGTGGTGAAGATGTAGGAACGCTGGATTGTGGTCATGACTTCCACACAGGTTGCATTAAACAATGGCTAATGCATAAGAATTTGTGTCCTATTTGTAAAACAACAGCCTTGGCTACATGAGAGAGGGAAAACACCATTTGATTCCCTCGTTTATCGAATCCAATGAAATCCAACACCCTGGGTGGATAATATCTTGTTTTGCTCCTCTTTTTAGTCTCTTCACGACAATGGTTTGATGAGTTGTCGTCAATGGCTAGTTCTTGCAATGTCAAGAAGAAGGGCGACGTGATAGGTGTGGCATGCACAAATGCAATTTTCCATTTCTGGTGGTCTTGACTACTTACTGACCTCTTGGGGCAGGGGTAGGGTAGAGTAATGATACTGGCGTTTGGTGAGGTTCCCAATGAGACCTTTGTCTTGATACGTAGTAGTTGTCTTTCTCTTTCTGGACTGGAATACCAGGTGTCGTGGCGTTGCCTTTTGGTTAGCTTTACCACCAGGATCCCATTAGGTATAGGGCCTGGGCTTTCATTGGGAATTTAATTAACAAGGATCGGAGAGGACGGAGGTGAATTTCCTTCCCTCTGGCTTACGGATTTGCTTGTGTGAGCGAGCATTGGCTGTTTAAGCTTGCCGTATACGCTATAACTTGGGTTATTTAGTGAGAAATCGATGTGTTTACAATGGAAGTGTATTTGGGATTTTTGGCCTTTGGGTGCGCGTTAGGCCTTTTTCAAGCCGTACGGAGATGAAAGGAAGGATCCTTTGCTTTGCATTTGGTGGGAAATTATTTCGACTTCTGATTATGCTTACTTCTAGCAATGATAAATCCAGCTGGGGTGGCAAATGAGTCCTTTTGTAGAAATAAGAAATTGGTGGGACAGTGAAGTGAGAAAATGGAATTAATACTCTACAATTATTTACAATTACAAGTGACATGTAAAATGATAGGAAGGGAATAAATTTTTTGGTAAATTACAGATTATTACCCTGTTGTTATGGTAATTTTGCTTTAGTACCTTAATTTTAAAATGTGTTATCACCAAAGGTTCAAAGTATGAACACGTATCGGCTGATACGTATCGTTTCGGGACCCCTCTGATATACCCCTACAGTGGGTGTATTGAGGGTCTGACCGGTTTAGGGGGTGGAGGAGCCCTAAACTGGTCTCCCTGAACCGGTTGCAAAATAAAATTAAAAAAAAACATCAAAAGCTGTATCGATTCGCTTGATACGCCCATACCGGCGTATTGGGTGTATCAATATTTTGAACCTTGGTTACCGCACTACTTAAACCCTCAAAAACTACCAGTTTACATGTGCATATGATGTCACATGTGATTTGAATCATTTCAAAATCTCAAAATTTGCCTTCAAAAGAAGATATTATTCATCGTCTTCTTCCTTTGAAACTAAACTAGAGCAGCAGCATCTTCTTCTTCCCTCCAACTTAGGGGTGAGCATAATTTGGTTAAAATCGAAAAGCCAAACAAAAAAATTTGGTTTTGTTTTTTTTGAGTTTTAGTTAATTTGTTTTCAGTTTCGATTTTTAGAATTAGAAATTTGGTTAACCAAATTAACCGACTTTGGTATATAAAATGTAATAGATAAATATAATATAATAAAAATTGCTTTTATAATATATAATATATAAATTAAAACCCAGCCTCAGAAGTTTCCTTTCGGCATCTTAAACAGGGCTGGAACTGCAAGCCTACAACTGAATCATGGTTAGACATGTGGTTATTTTCTAGTAAAGCAGTCTGATTTTTTTTTTTTTTTCTTGTTCATCCCTAAGAAAGAGACATCAGTCCATTGGAGATTAAATGATTTCATTATGGTTTTTATGTGTTCTATCTACCAAAAAGCAGTGTTGTTTTTTGGTTACATGACAAATTTCTCATGATTTGATTTGAGTCTGATTTTCATAGGAACCAATTTTTATTCTTAAACTTGGACAAACCACGAAGATTCTAAAATTTATATGTTAATGACCAAACTTTTTAAACTGATGATAAAAAAAAAATAATTTTTTCGTAACTTTAAAAAGCATTTATTGGGACACAATATAAAAAGAGGATAAAATAACAAGTGACGAAAAGGTTAGTGTTGAAATGGCATGGGGATGGCCATTAAACATTTAGAGCATATTTGTTCATAAGTTTGAATTTGGAGTTAACAATAAAGAGCCTCTAGTCGTGGATTCTATAAATGTATTTGATTGTTTACGACAATAAAGGATAGTTTAAAGCAATCCCTGATCAATGAGCTCGAAACAATGAATATTATATATAGGTCATAGGCATAGCAACAAATATTAGCCCATGTATTTGAAAACGGTTTTGACTGATTGCACCAAAAGATTTGATGTGGTTTGACCAAATCAACATGTTCAAGAACCAAGCGACCTAGGAAAACCGTTTTGACTGCCGGTCTGTGATTCCGAATGTCTTGTTCTTCTGATCATCCGATCCTTTCAAGTAGCCGACATTGTGGGCCAGGCCCAGTTGGTCGGTCCAAGGCTCAAAACTACGCTCCAAAATCCAAATCGTGTATGCACGTCGCAACCGAACCGAAACCCAGGGCCAGATGAGATGGTGGTGCTATCTATCTGCTATGTTTGCTTCACTCCTCTCTTCTCTCTGATACATAAACTCATAAACCTTTCCCGAGATTTAACCCCGAAAAGAAAGCAAGAAAGCGAAATAACATTATTGGGACAAGTTGGGCAAGGGAAGGGATATAGAACTCTGCTCATCAAGTCAGAAGTCTCACCCCCGGACCCGGTCCCACTTGACATGACCTTTGCCGGCTTAATTGGTGGGGTATTGTCTTTTGTATAAACGCTCCGCCGTTGGATGGTTCTGATCTCCGAAGTCCTAATCTATTGCCGTGTCGTGTGTGTGGATGTGATATACTACTGAGTGACTCTGGACTCTGAGGTCTGATCTGATCTGGTGACCCGGTTATCTCTTCCGGGTGTCAATTAACTTATTACCGAGGAGCGGGGAGAGATGGATGGGATGGATACGCGCTGATACATTTGATAGCGACGCGGATTCTTTGTCCTTCACCTTCTTGTCTGTGTCTCGTCTGGTGGTCGGTCGCGTGACTCGCGTCGTTGTGTTGGAGATCCATCTGTCCAATAATTTCATGCCACGTATTACAACTGACCAACAAAATCTGACGCACAAAAATACAACATTATTCGTTCTCTCTATCTCTCTCCTTCTCCTTAAGGTGTCGCTGACCCAGACAAAGACAATGAAATTCTAGCGTGAGACTCTCTGAGTGAGATAGAGTTTGACCCATCCCTCTCTTTCTCTCTCTCTCTGTTCACAAGAATAAACAATTTAGAAAAGATGCAGGGGGTGGTGAAAAGTCATTCTCTAGTTTCATCTTCTCATCCCGATTCCACATCAACCAAAAAAGAAAAAGAACAGAAAAAAAGCTACTCTTGATTTTTCTGTTTGGTGAATTCATTTCACCGGAAATAATAATAAGAAGAAGAAAAAAAATAAAGATTTTCTGCTTGACAAGAAAGACGATATTTTATTCCCCAAATCTCCCTACTTTAGAAGCTTTTAGAATTTTCAATCCAAAATGATGATGGGTTTTTCCAAATGATTTAAACCCATCAGCCATCATGTCCTTTGACAATAAATTGTCAATAAGAGAGAAGGGACAGTGGGACCCACTCCCATCTAAGGAACCATTGACGTTGAGGGGGGGGGGGGGAGGAGGAGGAGGAGGAGGGGTCTCATCCTCCTAATTAATAAAAGTCCCAACTCCCCAGGCCCAGCAAAGTAAAGACAGAAGAACAGAATAGAATAATGGTTCCTGCCTTTGGCTTTGGACTGGACCATCATCTTCGCTTTTCTGACCTGTTGGAAATACATGGAATCTGTAAAATTTGGGCACCATCTTCGCTTGCTCCATTAGCTTGTTTTAGAATATGTGGTGGAATCTCCAGGGATTTCCTTTAAAGCTGTTAGACCCACCCACCCGGATAAAACGTTTGACCCCCCCACATCAAAATCATGTTTCGTCGTTTCCGTATGAGATGATGTTGCCTTGCTTCTTCGCGTCTGGATCCTGATAAGGCCTTCCAGCTGTTTGTAAAATCGTTTGATCCGAGCTTTTTTTTTTTTTTTTTTTTTCACTCTAGCATTCACCTTTGTCGAATTTGGGGTCTTCATCCTCATTTCTATATTTGAAATTAGTGGTGGGACAGCAAATTTATATCCTCTGTCCCTGCCTGCTACACTGTCTTTTTCGTCACAATGAAAGCTAGCCAGTTGCAAGTTCAGTTTGGAAATAGTGTAAATATAAATATACAAATACAATTCTATACAAACTGAACCAAAGTTAACCAAGGGGCCGTTTGGCAATTCGTTTTGGAAGATTTTTTAGTAGTTTTAACTGTTAAAAGATTCATTGAGTTTTTTATAATTTGGTTATCACCGTCTTTCTGTATGAGAATAAAATGAGAAAAACACGAAAAAACTTTATTTAAAGTTTTCCGAAATTAGTCTAAAATTTGACGCATCAACTTTTGACAGCTAAATCTGTCATAAACCAAATGAAAAAAATAAGTGACAGGATCTACCCAAATTATAAACAGCCAAAACACAGCACAAAAAGACATGCCAAACGGGGACCAAATAGAATATGCATTGACTGAACATAAAGGTAAGAATCCAAGGTCGTATGGTGGGTGGTAAAGTTTTTCAGCAACCAGTTGGAAAAAAAAAAGGGTAAAGTAAAACTGCAGCATTATTGTCAGTGAAAAATTAACTGCCTTAATTTTTATTAGAAACCTTGTTAATCATGTTTATTAGAAACCTCTGAAAGTCCAAGAGTCTTTCCTGTGACAAGATGCTTTGTGGGTCATAATGACCTTGGGATTCCTCTCTCTCTGTTCTTTTATTGAATCAATTATGTGCAACTTAGCCATTAAAGACAAAATTATTAAAGGGCAACACTGAAGTTACCTCTCAATTTAGTGCTGGATGTTTGTGGAGGAAGACGTTAACCTTTGAAAACCAAATTTTCAGGGTTATTTAACATTAAAAAAATGCATAACTGGTTGGAGTTTTACAATTTTGGACTTGACCTGAACACAATTAGAGTCAAACCAAACCATCTCAACAGGGCAAAGGTGTAACAAAGAAAGAAGAGAGAGAGAGAGAGGTAGGTTTTGTGGT